TGGAGAGATGGGGTTCAGGGGGGGGTGGTCTTGATGGGGTGGGGGTCCAGGTGTAGCTGGTTGGGGTTTAGTGGGGTGGGGGTCTGGGTGTGGGGGGGCTGATCAGGGGAGTCCAGATGTAGGAGGATAGGGCTTGTCAGGATGAGGGTTTGATGGGCCTGCTCAATGGGGGAACCCCAGCTGCAGTCGAGGGGACACCACATGCCGGGCTCCTGCTTCCCCCCACGATTCCCCTATCCCCTTTTCTTCCCCATCTCATCCCCCTCCCCCACTTCCCCATGCCCCTCCCTTCACTTCCTCATTCTCCTCCCCCATTCTCCTCTCCCTACCTTCCCCACTGCCTCTTCCCCCCATCCCCCTTCCTTCATTCCCCCCACCCCTCACCCAGCCCCACAGCCAGCAGTCGCTGTTGCACAGAAAACAGGAAGGCTCCCAGCACACAAAAGGGGATCACGACTGGCACTAGGACCCAGGAGGCGGCGTTCAGCTGCAAAGCCAGTGGAGCAGAGAGGTGGCTCGCCTCTGTTTCAGGGGGGCAATCCCCCCAAAAAAACTGCACACATGGTCATGTCCCATCCCCCACACAGTTTCCCTTTGCTTCCCTGCTGTTTTCTGCAGGGAAGCACAGGAAGCAGGAGAAAGGGCGTTTTCCCGCAGAATTCCCAAGTAGCATAAGCTAAACAGGAAGACTGTTACTCAACCTCTTCCACTGTTAAAGAAAACTGCTTGACTCACCTCTAACTGACGGAAGTTGTAGACCAACACCAGAATAGCCAACACTGCCAGGATCATGCAGAAAACCTGTAGTCTACAGAAACTGGGCCACATTGTCCACTCATGTCTTTCTCAATCATGTTAGATATTGTCATGATTTCCATATCCCACAGGCACCAATGTCATCGTGTTTCAGTATTACACAAGAGATTCAGTTGACTTCTGCTTCATTAGTCTCTTCCTGTGAATGCATTTACAAGGATTTTAATAAGTCCCTAGATGTATTCGAGAGAGTTGGGTTTAACATTGAATTAGGAATGCCTAAACGTTGAGCCAAGGAGAAAGGGAAAAATAGACTAGATAATATACTTTTATGGCACTGTTATTTTACCTAGACAGTACTCACAGTTATGTTACTACATTACTCCCTTCAGTGTTTAGACTCACCACCTTACCATAAAATCAAATTTGGCCACCTATTCTTAATAGCATTACCCATGGAAGAGAATTGCATGATCTCTTGCCTGTAACTTTAAGTCAAATTACATCACCTGCTCTCTGCACTCTGACATGCTTTCAGTGCAGTAGCAGAAAACAATTTAAATGGACACGAGCAAACAAGGCTCCAAGCTACATCCCACAGTTTGCTTAAAAGTAAATACTGTGCAACATTCCTGAAGGATGCTTTCTATATATTTTCTAAACAAAACAAAGAGACACTTGATTGCTTTGATCCTGAAATCTTTTTTAAAAATACGAAGGTATAATACACATACATGTATAATTGAAATGGTATATATAGCAGGCACACACAAATAATAGTCATACAATAAATTGATAAGAGATTTATGATTCTACATATTTATCATGCACCTTTGAGTGTATTCTTCCATCCCAACCACCTGAGAAACTTCAAAGGACTGCTTTAAAAAAAAAAAGAGAGAAATGTCCCCCTCAAAGTTGTCGCCGTTTGAGGCCCAATACAGTTAATGTTCAACCCTGGGCCAATGATGGCTTTACTATACATAAACACATGTATAAGGTCCCATACCTTTCGCCATCGGAGGGATAGAAACAAATGCATTATTATACCACGGAAAAGAGGATATTTCCAACATTCTGATGGATGAAAAAGTACCCACTTCCAGTCGTTGAAGGGACCAAGTTTTGGTTGCAGCCTCTTGCATTGAGCTTTTATTCAGGGAAGCATGACAGCTTTCACAAATATGACTCAGCTAGTGTCTAATCCCATTTTATAAGGACAAGGTCCATATGTGCAGTGGGTGTGAATTGGAAGAAGAAGCCACTGCTGCTACCCATTTAATTAGGGCTTCAAGATCTATCTTCTGTTCTATCCCACTCATCATTCCCGGAGCAAGCATATACATTCGTTGCTATAAGGATACACAAACAAATTTGCATACATCTTGTGTGCTGGCAGGTTTCCTCATTTGCACACAGAATAAAACCCTGCAAGACGCTGCAAGTAAATCTCAACATCTGCAGTGGCTGCAAGCACCTTGCAAGGGAAACTGGGATGAAACTGACAGGCACTCAAGTGCACCTGCTAAAACGCATAGGCTTATAAATGGCAAGTCTGAGCTGAGCAAGAGCTGAGCTCCAGAAGTGGTACAGACCCAGAAGGACCCTAAACACACAACCTCCAACCCCACTCACTCCAGCACGCTGCTACTCTCCTGGTACCTCATCATGCACCCTACAAGCTCACCCACTGTCACCCCCACACACCTCTCCTATCCTGCACTCCCAGCACAGCTCTAGTCTCCCCAATACCAGCCGGTCTCCCCCGCTAATCCCAACACAAGGCCCCCTGAACCCTAGCCCAGTCCCCCGAAGCCCTGAAGCCACCCAACAGCCTCCCCCCAAGACCTCTACATCCCCGCTCCCAGCACGCAGCGTGGTAACAGGGGGCCCTTCCTAGAGTCTCCGCCGCAAAGGGAGGCTGCGCTGGACCCCTGCCCCGCTCACTCACCGGCCCCAAGTCCCGGGGTCCCAGCCAGCGCCTTCCGCTGCCCGCACCCCCGCGCTCCACTGCCCGTGCCCGGCCCTTGGGCGGCGGAAAAACCATTGCTTGGGGGCGGCCGGAGGAGGGAAGTGGGCGGGATTGACCCAGGGAAGGAGGCAGTTGCGGAAAGCGCGTCAGCATCCCCTGAACCCACCTCGCCCCCTCGTATTACTCTGCGCCACACAGCCCCCTGCACCTTGTGCAGCCCCCGGGCCCACCGTAGTGCGCTCCCTCGCGCATCGCTCCGCCTCCGCCCCCCGCGCCGACAGCTCCTGCGCGTTGCACGGGCCGGCCTAGAGTTGTTTTCCACTTGCATCCGCGCGCCGCCGCTGCACGCTCTCCGCTGCATCTTCTCCTCGCCGCGTCGTGCGTCTGTCCCCATCCGCCTGCGTTCTGCACCGGGCATCCTCTTTCCGCTACATTGCATTCATAGCCCCTGGCTTCCAGTCCTGGCTCCATCTGCCCTTCCTTCGAGGGTTCTCCAACAGCCACGAAAAGCGTTTTTCAGGGGCCCTGGAAAGCTGTTTCTGTCACAAGAGCGTAGGCTGGACCAGAGATCACTGTCATCTGCAGCTACGTGCAGCCCTTTAGGATTTCTTTAAATCTCAACCAGGAATAAAAACAAGCCCATTTCTGAACCCTGCAGGGCTGCTTCATGTATTTCTTTCCCATATGTTTCTGTGCTGCGAATTCAACTACAATGAAATACGCAGATGCAACAGAAACTGGATATTCCTATGACGTTTAGCTAACATACATCCACACGTATAGTTCCAAATTTGCGAAGTGACCTGGGGGGGCGGGGAGCTGTAACTAAGGCAGGGAGGTTTGGTAAATGGGAATTCCTACATGCTAGAATAGAAAATGAAGAACACAGATACCTAACAGGAGAGGAATGTAAGTAAACAGCTAAAACGACCCTCTTAAGGCAGAAACAACAAGGAGTCCAGTGGCACCTTAAAGACTAACAGATTTATTTGGGCAGAAAGCTTTCATGAGGTTTTTTACCCACAAAAGCTTATGCCCAAATAAATCTATTAGTCTTTAAGGTGCCACTGGACTCCTTGTTTTTGTGCATACAGACTAACACGGCTACCCCCTGATACTTGACCTCTTAAGGCAAGTTGATTTTAACTTTTCTATCTCCCTAGTAGTCTCATTCAATTGTTCAGGGATGGGGCTAATGTGATAAGTCATCGACAATTCAACATGGAGAGACACAAAGGATCAATATAAAGCATCTTTCAAGCTGTGGCAGCTTTTGTAAGTTGTTTTACCCATTCAGCCTTTGGATACTAGACTGCCACTGTCAGAACCTGGATACTGAGCTAGATGGACCTCTTGTTTGACCGAGTATGGCCATTCTTATGTTCTTATGACTTATTAAAGTCTATTATAACACTAAAGCACAATGCTTGCTATCACTATTACATCTTACTACCCAAATATCATTCCTGTAGCATTTATCAATTTATTCTAAACTGTCTACAATATTGGATTTATAGGAATGTATTTTTATATATTTTTCCCCAAAAAATGTATATATAAAGAGTCTGTCTTGGTGCCTAGTGAGGACGTAAGGTTAGAGAGCACAAACCTGCAACTATTATTCATGCGACTAGTCACTAGATTGTGAACATGTTAGGACAAGGCTGTATTTTATGTATTTGTACAAATATGCTCAACAGAGCCTTGATCATAATTAGGGCTTTTTGATGCTACCTCATTACAAATAAATAAGTAATTGGGACAACTCAGTCATGTATGTAAGGATGCATGTTAACCTCCCCACCTCACACACATGTACACACTCTCCTATCTTTCCTTGCACAGATCCTGGCTTTGTGCAGGGCACCAATGGAAGTACTGACTCCCTTTCCCTGCACGCTATTTCATGAACAGAGGCTGATCCATGTAAAGGGAGCATATGATAGCAGGCTTGGCTTACCGCTGGTGTCCATTCCAGGGTGCAGTTCTGATTTTTTTTAAGTACAGGTTTTCCTGCCCCTGACAGCTTGCCCCCACACCTGCTGGCATGACCTTGCAAGTATGGGGCACACAGAGTCCTGCTTTGCCATTTTTCTCTACAAAGTGTTACCCTTCATGCAGCACGACCTGACACACACCTTACTTGTGAGGTAATGCCATGTGAAGGAAGCCATGTTGTTTCTATATAAGTGCTGAAATGGCGGTCCACCACATTCAGGCCCCACTTCACCAGGTGCCTCTCTTCAGCAACTTCTCTGATAATGTGACAGCCAGCCTTTGGGTGGATGACGAATCAGCCCTCAGGCCAGATCACCAATTTGGTTCACCTCCTTCCAGGATAACAAAGTCCAAAGTGATAGGAAGAATCCCACATCCTCACAAGAGGAAGGGTCTGCAGCCCACCTCTGGACCCTGATGGGTGGCTCACCCTCAGGCTGGGGCTCTTGGTGTGTCTATCCTTTCCTCACTCCTGAGAGGAAGGGTGGAAAAGATGGCCATTGTTCAGGAGCTCTTAGGAGATGTCTATCCTCCTATCCTGCCTCCACCTGGAGCACACTCGGGGTGGTGGGGGTGGTGGTGTGTGTGTGGTCACATGGCCTCACAACTGCTCCTTAGCCCCTTCATACACCGCATCACAGGACACTTTACAAAATGCAGAGATGGGAAGTAAGGAATGGAAAGAGAAAGATTGAATCCATGTATTAGAAATAGCACAAAATTTGCTATATTTTATTAACCGAGTCTTCTTATGTTCCTTGGCAGATCCATGGTTTTTCCTTACAGCAACAAAACTGCTACCTATCAATGTTACACATTGAGCTCTTGATCATCACAACATTCTGTGTCTCCCAACCACACAAAAGAAGTACTGTCCCTATACTCAGAGCCCGACAGAGTGCACACTCTATCTATTGCAACTAAATCAATGTAGCTACACTTTGCAAATCTCTAATGTAGATACACCTTCAGATCAGTAACATATATAAACTAAGGACCATTAGGGATGTGCACTGTTCTAACTACATAGGAGTACTTACATCTGTGTGGTTACACCAATGTGAGCTTCCCTATAGAGCAGTGGTTCCCAAACTGGGATTAGTGAACCACTGGGGCAGGGGTGGCCAACCTGTGGCTCCGGAGCCACATGCCGCTCTTCAGAAGTTAATATGCAGCTCCTTGTATAGGCACCGACTCCGGGGCTGGAGCTACAGGTGCCAGCTTTCCAATGTGCCGGGGGGTGCTCACTGCTCAACCCCTAGCTCTGCCACAGGCCCTGCCCCCACTCCACTCTTTCCTGCCCCCTCCCCTGAGCCTGCTGTGCCCTCACTCCTCCCCCTCATCTCCCCCAGAGCCTCCTGCATGGCACAAAACAGCTGATCAGGAGGTGCAGGGCGGGAGGGAGAGGCACAGATCGGCGGGGATGCCGATAGGGGGGAGCTGATGGCGGGCTGCTGACATATTACTGTGGCTCTTTGGCAATGTACATTGGTAAATTCTGGCTCCTTCTCAGGCTCAGGTTGGCCACCTCTGCCCTGGCAATTCACAAAATGTTACAGGGGGTTCTCAGGAAAAAATTCCCTAATGGCGGAAAGAGCTGTCCATAGGGACCCCAGGCAGCATGGGACCAGCATCCCGCAGCCTTGGGGACTTCCAAGAGCTAAGCAGATCAAAGCAAGCATATCTATCACACTG